AAAAAAAGGAAACAACTAAAGGTTTCTAAGTAGGAGTATAATGACCTCTTCCTAAGGAGTGTCATAATATCTTCCTGACATTTAAAAACACGGTCTCTATTGAGAAAGGGGTAAGGGGAGATGAAGATGAGGGTTCTATTGAGAAAGCGGTAAGGGGAGATGAAGATAAGGGTTAACAACTGATTTAGCTACCCAAACCCTGAGAAACCTGAGACTTTAAGAAACGTAAATTCATCTTTTCTTTCAGCTACAACCCTTACCCAGAGTCATCCTTAATAACACTTACTTTCTTGTCTCCAATTAGCAAGTCAATAACCAAGCCCTGCTGCTTTCACCTTCTAAGCAGTTTTCTGACCTGCACTCTCTTCTCCATCCTCTCCCCTGCTGTCCTGGCTGAAGTCTTCATCATCCTTCACCCAGACTGATACAGAAGCCTTGGGCGGCCTCTCTGCTTCTCTATTCCTTTAGAGCCATCCTTTGCAATGTTACCAACGTGATCCAGAATTAAAACACAAATCCAACCCTGAGATTTCCCTGTTTAAAAATTTTCCAATACCTTCAGTACTCACAGAATGAGGTTCAGGTGTTTCAAGGTGGCATGCAAATTTCTGTGGTGGTTTTCTACCAGGAGCACCACGAGCACGCAGTATGCGGGTATTTCTACATGTCTCATTGGTAAGCACTGTGTGGGGGCATTTCTAGATGTCTCAGTGTCTGAGTGGCGCTACTAGCCCTTCATGCCCAGGGGCTAGGGGTACTAAACATCCTGCAGGACTCAAGACAACTCACACAATGAACTGTCCCATCTGAATTTCCAGAGGTAACACCACTGGGAAAGGGTCCTCATGGTTCCTGCTCACTTCTATATCCTACTAGCTCACTTTTCTGCACTGCAGCTACATAACTCTTCTTCTGCAACACAGGCCATACTTATTTCTTGCATTTATACCTTAACTCTTGCTCTATGTATCTTTATTAATTCTGATACCTGGAAAGACTCATCACTTTACAGATTCATAGTTTAAGCTTCTGCTCTGGTGTCATTTCCCAGGAAGCATCTAACACACATGGTCTGACTTAGATGCTTCTTCCTGATAAGACAGTAGTGCTCTCTTATTGTGATATGCTCTGTGCTCAGCAGTTTGCTTTAAAACCAGTGGTGTTCTCCTTTACTAAGCTTCACTGGGCAGAAACTGTAGGCACTCAGTAGGCCTTATATAGACCTATGAATTTAAAGAATGGAAGGATGGAAGGATGGAAGGATGGAAGGATGGATGGATGGATGGATGGATGGATGGATGGGTGGATGGGTGGATGGGTGGATGGGTGGATGGGTGGATGGGTGGGTAAATGAATGATTGGGTAAGAGGAAGGACTTCTCTGAGGCTGTTTTAGTCCAGGTGCCCATGAAATAATACAAGCATTATTTTATAGCTCAGGCAACAGTTGAGGTCAAAGTTTCGGATCAGGTCATCTGTCTTTAGTTCCAGCATTCTGTAATGTACAAGTCACTCTATATCCCTAATCTTCGGTCACTAAATACCTCTATAAGATGTGCCAGGCAGCACCCTGCATAGCATTTCACTTACCCATGTTGAGGATTGTGGGCCACAAACAGCACTTTGACAGGCACTTCTGTCTGGCGATTCTACGTTCAGTTTGCTCAAGAACTCAGTGGTTTTGCTACCAGGAACACAAACAGGTGTTAGTGCCTTCACAAAAATATGAATGTAATTCTTTATTGTTCCTTTGGATACTAACCTAGACTTATTTGGGTGATGACTAAAATTGTCCTCGGCAGAACAGAAAGTTACGCTGAGAACAAGGTGTAGTAGAAATCAAAACAGAATGCGATTGCAAGATTGCATTCTTCAAGAACAATATTTCAAAAATATAAAACTACGTTTATGAAAGGTGAACCTATGGCCTCATTTTTTCCACTTTGTGTTACTGACATAAATACAAGTCCTCTCTCAGAGCACATTCCACCGCACGGGGCCCTAATTTCCTATCTGAACATTTAATGCTTAACACTCAGACTTCAGGGTGGAGCTGCGGAACATTCACGCCCTACAACATCCTGCTTCACACCAGTTTTTCATTAAGCCCTTTACCCTCTCATCTCATCTCCCTCATGGCTTTGACCGCTGTCAGGATACACAGACCCTCTAATCCAGCAGCTCTTTTCCACTTATGGATCACAGAGCCCTTTGGGACTCTGAAAGCGAAAGTGGACCCTCTGTTGACATACACACACACACACACACTCCTTTGCATTTTGTTTCAGAGAGGGGAAAAAGCCTCCATAGAGGTTAAAAAGTGCTGCTGATTCTAGATTGCATTTCTAATATCTCTTTTTAGCTCTGAAAAACTGACCTAGAAATGTCCTCAGTTTAAATAAGAAGCTCTCTATTTTTACCTTAAAAATCCAAACCACCACCCCAATTTCCCCTCTCACTTATGCCAAGCATAGAACACTGGAATTATTTCTTAGCCCTTACCCTCAGTGCCTGGCCCGTTCTGCCTACCCTTGATTAATTTCTACCCCTTTGTCCTTTTCTCATGTAATTTGTGGGATTTTTATCTCTTCATTGCACATTCACAGCCACATACCTCATTGAGCACTGACTTATATTGCACCAGACTTGTGCAGCCTGCTCCCATCTCCCTCCCTCCCTCCTGCTAGCCCTCTGCTTCCCCCTAACATTTTAAGCCCAATGCTAAGATCTGATTCATCAAGTACTTAGGACATGGGCATCAAAGGAAATGCAAAGTATCTGGTAAGAACAAATGGCATCCAGTGTAGGGGGAAAACAAGGAATTAGAAATTAAACAGGTGCCAACATCACTTCAAATAATTACTTAGGTAGAACATGGCATTTGAAAAAGGTCAGAAGCTTGATCTGGGGAAGGAAGAAATAAAAGTGAAGCAACGTACAGAACCCTGAGAAACATAACCCTGAGAAACATTCAGCAGTTGAGACGAGCAGCCTTTCCATTTGTCTTGGATTACTTATCTTGCCCAGAATAGACAAGGAGACTAATGAAGTTGCAGGGTCTGGAAGCTGCCCCACTGTCTGGGGCTTTATGAAGTCATCAGTCAAAAGCATAAAAAGAAGAGCGATGCCAGAAGTTTGGGTGAGATCTCTGAATATCCTGAGTGCAGACCATAGGAGAAAGCGGTGAAAAAGAAACACTGTAACAAGCAAGGAAGAAACTTCAGCTAGAGAAGGAAAGGATGAGGGTGGAGGGACAGCTATCTCTGTAATATTTATTTTTTTAATTAACCAAATATAAGTAATATCTTAACAATATGGCCTTAGTGGTTGATACATATTTTCTGTGTGTTTGAAATGTTTCTCGGCCGGGCGCGGTGGCTCAAGCCTGTAATCCCAGCACTTTGGGAGGCCGAGACCGGCGGATCACGAGGTCAGGAGATCGAGACCATCCTGGCTAACATGGTGAAACCCCGTCTCCACTAAAAAATACAAAAACCTAGCCGGGCGTGGTGGCGGGCGCCTGTAGTCCCAGCTACTCGGGAGGCTGAGGCAGGAGAATGGCCTAAACCCGGGAGGCGGAGCTTGCAGTGAGCCGAGATCCGGGCACTGCACTCCAGCCTGGGCGACAGAGCCAGATTCCGTCTCAAAAAAAGAAATGTTTCTCAAATAAAAAGGGAAAAAACACCCACACAGACTATGGTGGTGTTTACTAGGGAGACTTGGCAGATCCCATTCCAGATTTCATAGAACAATAGTTTCCAGAATGCCAGTGGGAAGACCAGTGTGGCGCTGGCTACATGAGAATCACCTGTGGTGCTTCCTAGAAATTACTGGACTTAAGCCTTTGACTCTAATTCAGCACGTCTGGAGTGGGATCCGGGAATCTGCGTTTCTTAAAAGCACCCCTGGTGATGGTAAGAACTACTACAGTAGTACAGATGGATATTCAATGTGCATAATTATCTTAAGTCTACATGATTCTGACTTATGAATAATTCATGTTATATAACACATTTGGAAATAAAACCTCAGTGTGTCTTAGGAACTCTACAATCTAATAATGCATTCTACATGTACTTTGCAATAGCTTCACAAACCTGAACTTTGCCACCATGAGGTTTAGGTAAGTAATCATTCGTACAGGCACGCATGTATTCATGCAGGCAACAAATATTTCCTGAGTCTCTGCCATGTGCTTAGCAATATGGGTTATAGGACAATCTAAAGAAGTATTATTTTGCTCGAGTCAGTTTCACATAACTGGGTAAGAGCAAATGACATTCACACACCTACAAGCACTCACAGAGCCTATGTAAGTAAGAGAGTGAGAGAAAATCTATTGGGATACACAAAACCTGTTTAAGAGATCACAAGAACAAGATTTATAAAACAAAACATGAAAGTGAGTAGTAATGCTGGGAGAACTTTGTACTTAATCAAAGTAATCAACCTATTACATAAACTTTAAGGAATTCTTTCCCTTCATTTATCTGGTCTTTAGTAATTTAATTTTTAGTTGCACAAGTAATACATAAATACGGGTCAGAAAATAGAATAGAAATTAGATTAAAATATAAAGAAAAAAGTGAAGGTTCTATTTAATATCTCTGTCAACCTGACTCCTTTCCCCAAAGGACATCATGAATTGTCAAGTATGTATCCTGATTATTTTCTATTAATTGATAAATATCTATTTAAAATTACATACAAATGAACAGTGATTTACCTTGGGGGAGGGTAATTAGGATAAGGCAGAGAAGGCCGGCTGTTCTCTAAAATGTGTTTCTCTGCTTCCTGGATATATAGCTAGACCACATTTCCCAGCTCCCACACAATTAGATGTGACCTAGGAGCATATATCTGCATTCTAGTCAATGAAATGTGAGTAAATGTATGGGCCAGGCTGAAGTGATCCACATCAATAACCTCTCACAGGATTCTTAATACTCTTTCCTCCTTCTAACTGATGATGGTGGGCTTGCAAGGCATTTGCAAAAGATAGTAGAGTCACCCTTTGCCTGAAGCTTTTAATGCCAGGGGGCAAAAGCTAACCCGACTCAAACATCAGCCCCGGATCATTCCACAAGAAAGATATAAACCTCTTGTTCTTTAAGTCACCGAAATTTTGGTGTTTACGTTTTTTAACTACAGCTTTTCCTACCCTAACAGATTTTTTTCTTTAAGTGGGATACTATATTTTGTTCTGAAAATAGATTTTTGTCATCTAACCACATCTTCGAGATTTTTCCATATTTATAAATATATATCTTATTCCTTTTGGCAGCTGACTGGCATTTTATGATATGGATATAATACATGTAACATTCTTATGGATGGATATTTATGGTTTTTTCCAGTGAGCATCCTGGTATATACATCTTGTTCAAATACATAAATACTTTTCCAGGATATAAATCTAGAAGTAGAATTTTATTCTAATATAGGTTCACATAAATAGATATACAAATTTTTGTTTTTGTTTTTTGAGACAGGATCTCACACTGTTGCCCAGGCTGGACAGCAGCTTTGACCTCCTGGGTTCAAGTGATCCTCCTACATCAACCTCCCAAATAGTTGGGCTACGGGAGCACACCACCATGCCCAGCTAATATTTTTTTAGAGGTGGGGCCTTGCTGTGTTGCCCAGGCTGATCACTTCTGGCCTCAAGTGATCCTCCCACCTCAGCCTCCCAAAGTATTGGGATTACAAGCATGAGCCACTGCACTCAGCCTATGCATGATTAAACCATGCTTAATAGTGCCAAGCTGATCTACACAAATTTATATATATTCACCAAAAGTTAACTTTATGGAAATGCCAATTCAGAACCAAGGATAACCTCCTTTAAGTACTAGTCCTATCCTGTCTTGCACATTCCTATTTATCTCCGTCACCTCCGAGTGTCCCAGTCTCACCCATCATTCAATACCACTCAACGTCTCAATCCCACACTGCCCCGTATGTCAGCCACTTAAGCCCCCACACCTCCCTCTAGCCTTCCAAACCTTTCCAAGGGGGCAAAAATCTCTTTATCTTTAACCAAGAGTTAACAACTCAGGATTCTTAACCTCACGTCAGAAAGTCTCCCTCAAATACAAAATGACTATTAGGCAAACACCCGGGTAAAAATAAATTGTGGGCAAGATCCATTTACAAATGCTAAAATCACTGGGCAAAGGTTTGCAGATAACAGGATATTAGTATAGTCTTAAAGGATCTCTCCGAAGACATTCATCAACTGCAAAGAGAAAAACAATAACTCAACAGTGGAGACCACCTCACCAAATGATCCAAGTAAATATCACCAGTGATAAGGATACTGACCATCACGTACCCTCTGACGTGATGCACTGAGAAGGACACGGCATCACTTCTGTAATTTTCTTGTTGGAAATTATAACTTCAAGCTATTCATGAGAAAACATCAAACAAACCCAAATTGGGGGACATTCTACAAAGTAATTATCCAATACCCACTGAAAGTGTTAAGTTCATGAAAGAGAAGGGAAAAAAATGAGGTACTGTCACATATTGGAGGAAATTAAGGAATCATAATAACTGGGTGTTTTATGTGATCCTGAATTGGATCCTGAAATAGAAAAGGAGCACTGGAGGGAAACTGATGGAATGTGAATAAGGTCTGTAGTTTATATTAATAGTACTGTACCAATGTTAATTTTCTGA